ACTCTGAAAAAAACTAGGAATTACTGAGGCTGAGCTTTGAAGCTATTTGGAACAAAGGGTAGAGGGTGACGCAGCGAAGGCGAGGTGTGCACAGGGAAGTTAGAGATGAGTCTCAAAGAACAAATTGAGTCACTCAACTGAACCAGAGGAAACATTTGGATATGAAGGGAAAGCAAATGAAAAGGTAAAATGAAGTAAGAGATGATGTGGATACGACAGGAAGCCTGGCTCAAATTGTATTTTATCACATAGATATTAATTAAAGGATTTTATGTAGAACCGTGTCCTAGTGATACATACTAGAGTGACCATTCTGGTAGAAATGTGAAGAATGGATTTAAACATAACAACAGCAGCAATGAAGAAATAACAAGGTAATATCTCTTGGCTTTTACCAAGAGAAAGAGAGAGAGAGAGGGAGACACCAAATGAAAAGCTCCAAATGTAAAACAATGGTAGTAGGACTGGAAAGAAAGAAAATGATTCCAAAAATAGGCCCTACCGGTAGGTGACCAGGTTTATTGGATTTGAGGATATAGAGAGATAAATAGGATGGCTCTCAGAGTTCCAGCTTAGGAAACATGGGTGTGTAATGGTTTTACTAACTCAATAAGATGTAGGAAAGAACAGCCTATGTAGGCGATAAGATGACCTTATAATGTGGGGAGGCAAATGCGGGTCTATGTGGGTTATATTGAATTTGAGGTTCCTGAGGCTTCGTATAGTCATTTCTCATTTAATGAAACTTTACTGGACACCTATCACTTATAATAAATGAGTGGTAAGGGGGTGCTGAGTGTACCTCATCTATACTCCCCTATGCCATCATTCTAACCCTCCACCTCCCCCAAGCTGCTGTTCCTTCTTTCCTTTATAGGAACATGGTGACAACAGCATTGTATGTTGAGGAGGGAAGATCAGGGGAGGAAACAAAAAGGAGCAAATAGGCTCTGGAGTCCAGCCTGAAGCCAGGCTCTGCTAAAATCATCTTCAACGTACATTCTTCTAGAATTAATATTCTCCTTAGTTTGATAATGCTTGTTAAATGACCAATAGTTATATGGTCAAAATTCATTCTGGGTAAACTCAGTGATTACTTTTTTATTTTATTATTAATTTTTTTTTTTTTTGCAGTTTTTGGCCAGGGCCGAGTTTGAACCCATCACCTCTGGCATATGGGGCCAGCGCCCTGCTCCTTTGAGCCACAGGCGCTGCCCAGCTCACTGATTATTACAAAACTATGAACACAGGAGCACTTAACCAATTTCTGTTCATTGCTTTACTGTAAGATAATATAGGTCATAAAAATAATTAAAAAGAACATATTTAAAGAATTAGTTTTAAGAACTTTGGCTTTGCTGTTCCTGATATTTGAACTCAGGATTGGCAAAATTTATAAATAAATATTACATGAATCCTTCTTCTCAATTACTTTGTTATTGTGGTCATTTATAAATTACCATATTGACTTAATACTTTTTAAGCGTACAGTTCAAAGGCATTAAGCATGTATCCACATTGTTGAGTAACCATCACTACCATCCATCTCCTGAACTTATATTACCTTGATTTTTAAGAAAGCATTAATTGATTTAAACATCAAAACCCATTTATTGCCTGTCTTTCAATTTTACATATTCCACTTAAAGAAAAACAGAGCTCTTCCTCTCCTCTAAAATTATATTTAGAGTGATTACTTCATAAATTGAATATCAACTCACAGATACTTAGACTCATCAGAGAATTTTAACATTCTACCAATTCCTATGCTCTGTGAGAAAAATGTTGCGTTATTCTATTGAAACAAAAAACACTTTATAGTTAACCACACCAAAGTGATGAATACTAAATGTTCACTTTAGCAAAAGTATAATTTAAAGTTCAGAACCCCATGTGGTTCTAGGAAAAGTAGAATCTAACAGAATGTAATAAAAATAATGAACCATAGTCTAGTATAATTCTTGGCCCACTGTAGGCTGCAATTAATGTTTTAAATGAACGAGTTTACAAAAAGAGACAATTAAATATACATTGCATAAAAACTGTTACTAATTTGACAATTAGAGAAGTAAATGTCTCATTACTAATTGAAAGAAAAGTTAAGAAAAGTGTTATTAAAGTACTTATATGAAACAAGCTGAAATTATTCCAAAGTACTAATTAAATTTCAATAGACGAGACATTTTAAAGCTGCAGAAAGGCAGTCAGTGGTTTACCAAAGGTCACACTCTGGAGACAAATCTCCAGCATCCACTGGGTGCTTTTCAGGTGGAGACGCACGGTGGGGAGGGGAGAGGTGGCACAGACACTGAAGCCAGGCTGCCTCGACTTCAGTGTCTCCTCTGCCATTTCTTTTTTTTTTTTTCCTTTTATAAAAAATTAAATCATAGCGTATACATTAATGCAATTATGGGGTACAATGTGCTGGTTTTATATGCAATTTGAAATATTTTCATCAACCTGGTTAACATAGCCGTCACCGCATGTTCTTAGTGATTGTGTTCAGACATTTGTATTCTACACTTCACTCTGCCAGTTTTTAGCTGTGCAGAATCGGACAACCATTTAACCTTTGTCTCCCTCCGTCGCTTCCTTCATAAAATGAGGCTATTTGTAGGGTTTTTGTGAGAAATAAACTGCACATGACACATATTAAGAACTTAATAAATGGTAGAAATTATCCAAGCCTTTCCTGCTTCTTGACTTAAAATGTGGTATAGGAACCAAACTCCCTTTCTCCGTAAGAGTCCAAAAGATTGCAGAGGGTACTTATACGGCTATGTGGTTTCACTGTCTTTGTTTTACTTACTCTCTCATGACCAAGGCTGACGATATTTTATTTTTTTGACCTTTTATTAGAGGCCAGAACACTATCGCCACCACAACTGCCATCCCGCATCACAACCATCACAACTGCAACTGCCATCAGTACCACCACCCCACTGCCAGCACCGTCACAACTACCAGCAACACCATGAGTTTTACCACCGCCATCATCATCATCTTGACCACTATCACCCTACCACTATCCTAACCACCACCACCATCACTACCATCCCTGCCAACATCATCGCTATTAACTACCCCCCCATACCAGCAACAGCACCACGAACAAAAACCACCTCTGCAACATCCATGTCAGTATCACAGTGTGAATTTAACAGGGTCATTCACTGAGGCAAGAATAACAGACAAGATATAAATGCACACGTGCTCACAAGGGAGGAAAACCGCATGGAGTTCACGCAGCTGAGAGGAACATACCGGAAACGAACAAGCAGGAAATTATCTTTATGTACTGTACACAGAGTGTGAGCCAATAGCTTCAGAATAAAACCATGAGAAATGTAAAATTAAAAAAAAATCCCCTTTATATGCTAATCTGTGCTGTTTGGAACGTATAAAGTTGTTTAAGCTACTAAATGAAAAAATGGGCTTTAATTAAAGAGTCACAGGTTTTCATCCCATATCTGCTCCATACCTCACCTTGAATAGGTTATTTAACCTCCCAAAGGCTCAGATTTCTCCAGCTGAAAAATGGTGATATTCATTATTGAGGGTTTGTGTGAATATTTAATAAAATACATATAATATAAGCACATAGTACAATGCTTATGCACAATAAAGACCCTCCCTCATCACTTCCTATCCAGTTTCTCTTACAGTCTTAATTTATTTAGTAAATGACAGCGTCATTCACAGGTGAGAGTTAACTTCAGTCTAACAGTTTTATCTGATCACTATCCTCAAACCTTATGGAACTATTAGTACATTCTTCCTGTTAAGACTCCAACATATAGCTTAAATCCATCCACTTCATTTTCCTTCCCTGTTACCACCCTTGCCTAAGCTAAGACTACTGGGACATACCTGCCTCCTCCTCGCTGCGAACAATCTATGCTCCACAGAGCAGCCACTGCGACCTCTAATACTATAAATCACATGATGCTTAAAGCCTGCCGTAGTTTCCTACTGCACTTAGAATGGAATGCTAGCTGTTTACCATCATTGTCTGTACATAATCTGCCCCTGTCCTCTAATTTTACTTTTCTTCTAACTATTCTTATCATACCATCTTCCTTACTATTTCTTCCACACACTGAGCTTTTGGCTGTGTCCTTTCAAAGAGGGCTCCCAGATTCACTTATCTAAAGTAGTAATTGCCAAACTACATCCAGTTCCTCTTTATTCTTTTACCTTAATTTTATCCTAACACTTCTAATATTGGAGGTTATATTTATCATATATTGATAGTTGGTTTACTTAGTTTCTTAGGATCAGAATTTAAGTTTCTTGAACACAACTATGTGGTTGATCTTGTACATGTTTTATGCCCAGTACCTAAAGCAATGCCTAGCATGTTTTGAAATGTAATGAAAAACGGCAGTGCCTGTGGCTGAAGGAGTAGGGTGCCAGTCCCATGTACCAAATGTGGCCCTGGTGAAAAACTGCAAAAAAAAAGAAAGAAATGTAATGAAATATCCACTATACAAATAAAAATTGAAATTCTTGGAGGGGGCAAAGTGTCTGACTTAAAAATATCTGACTTTGAAGAAAACAACTATGGGCAAATTAAACAGGATATTTTTACTATGGAGAAGAAAGACTTCAAATCTCCAAATGGAGGCAAAAGAACAGATGCGTGTATGAAGGTTGCATAAGTAATTTTCTCATAAGGTGCTCTAAAAAATACAAAGCATTTTAAGAAAATCTATTAACATTTTGGTTAGCCCCAGATTTTATAATTGATCGATGATATCTAAAAGTTATACGTAGGCTAATACAAACATTCAAAAGCTAAGTTGTTGCCAATGGGATGTACTATCTAAAACCTGAATGCAGCGTCTCCGATACATAAATCAAAAATTGAAGGATATTTGGTGATTAGTCCTTAAGGAGTTAAAAAAGAAGAACAGTTAGTGTGGTGTAGTTACTTATAGGAATATATATACATGGAAAGCAAAATGAAATTGACAGCATTTCCGTTAGTCTGTACTCACTGTGCACGGAGTCTGCATCCACGGTTCCCCGTCGATCTGCATTGGCAGAGACTTGCTAGTCCTGGAGGGAAATATTGCACAGTAAGTACAACACTGAAATACTTCATTATAGACAACATGTAAGATTTGAGATAGTGAGACCAGGGAAGGCAAATATGGTACCAGCTGGGCTCTAAGGTTAACTTTTTTGAAAGGGGTTTCAACTCTTTACTATTAATGAATACCAGGAAAGATGTCTTGGTCACAGGAATATTAAAAGCTTCATGGTAAATGTAGTGATATAAATCTAAATTCCAGATCCCAAAAGAAAAACATATGAGTTTATGTTTCATGAAACAACCAGAACTCCTAGGCCAACACAGCCTCCTGGTTTTCATGCTTTCCTATTGGAAAAGGTATCCAATGTTCCAGATCTCCCAGTACCAACAGTTTCATACAAATAATGTTAATTATGTCTGTAATTTATCTTGCCTTAGAACCTTTTTCTTTTTTTCCCCTTTGGCTAAAATTTTGGAAAAAATTTTCTTGACAATTTAATCCACATATAAATATCTTACTGTACAAACTGTACAAAAATATATTAATATATTATTTAACTTTACAGAAACAATGTGGCACTTTAGTCCATAAAAGAATTTAAGTCAGTGGAGTGTCAACAGTGCTTTCTCTGATTTATGTACCCTGTAGGTATGTAGGGGCTTCCATGGACTCAAATGTGTATGAACTACTATTTGAAGGAATAAAATTTGTGTGTTAGAATTGGTTTGTCAATGTGTCCAGGATGGTTAACAAGAGAGAATTGGATTTCAATGAACGTGATAAGCAATTGCTAATTCATATTTTGTAAAATCTGCCAATTTCCATTATTTGGAAATACATCAGTACATTGACTACACATTAAGACCATTGTTGCCAACAGAGTTCCCATCCTTCAATGAGCTGGAGGCTCATTGTCAAATCCCTGTCAAATCCCTGTGTCAATTACAGAGAAAGAGCTACCTGATAACTACGCAGGAGCACTGAGCCAGTCGCCGGCCAGCACTTTTCAGTCCTGTGTATATTTGGCCCATCTCCATGGCTCCTTCCAAGCCAACCACTTCCAGAAGCTGGTCACTCAGATCTGAAAGAAAATAGATGCCCTGTTAGTGGACAGTGCATATGCATATGTCCACAATTTAATGCCATCAGATATTATGGAGATTACAAAAAATCTGAAAGCCACTTCACAAATAAAGCTTCTTTGCCTTAGAAAGTGAAAGTAATGAAAAGATGGCCTACTTTTGTAATGTTCAGTTTAACTAAACCTCAAGGTTCTGTGGAAAATGATTTGCTGTCAGCTTATTCTAAAACAAATTGGGAAGAATAGATTCTGAGCCAAAAAATACCAAAAAATATACCAGTAGTTTTTAACATCAACAAACTTAATGTTATTCCACATGTATATATGGAACATTTATACATCCCACATCAGACATTTGGCAGCAAACACATTTCGACACTATAAATAAAGTATGAAGATAAGCTGTCAAACATGATTTTGTTAAATTACTCGAACAAGAGACCTTCGAGATCATAGAGTTGAAGTTTATCATTTTATAGATTAGAAGACTCAGTCCTTAAATCATTGAATGGCTTGTCCACAGTAATCGTAGCTTTGCGTAGAAGTTCAAGAGACAACAGCAGTTTTTTAAAGTATTTTTTCGGATGTTAAGGAATATTCTACCACAACACTATGTGGGAGTAGGTTAAATAATTAGCACTGTGTAATCATCATCATTGTTATTTTTTAAACAGAAGACATTAAGAAGGGGCTAACAGTAAGGGGTATTGCTTATTGAGAGTTTACTAAGTGCCTGTCAGTGGACTAATCACTTTCTATATATTATCACATCTGCTCCCCTTTAAAACTGATTTGAGATAAATATGATTATCCCTAATACATATATTTAGAAGCTGAAATTGGGGACCTTAACAGTTTATTTTTATTCACATGCCTAGAAAGAGAGCCAAAATTTGAACCAAAAATGTTAATACACTATGTTACATCTGATAAATCGAATGAAAAGAACAAACTTTATGAAAATTATGGAAATGTTTCATAAATAGGGACAGAGGTTAATGCTAAAGTGCCAGATGTATGCCTGGTGATAGTTATAAAAGAACAACCACCAGCATCCACCAGATGAGCTTCAAGGGCTCTTTCCAACCTGAAGATCTGTACTCAGCCCCAAAGCATATGTTGAACTCACATCAGTAGAATCCTAGAGAGTCCTGCCCCAAGACACAGTGACAGCCCATGTGCTCACCTATTTAACTCAGACTGACAGGACCCTGGATTTGGAGGTGGGAGTCTAGGTGCACATAGATAGCCCTTTGCAATTTTAATAGTCTTATGTATGTTTACATGTAAATAAGTCATTTTATATTGTTTAGTCACAGAAAAATCTGGGAGGTTAATATTTAGTGGGTGGCATGATTATTACATAAAATAATTATGTAATAGCTGGTCGCAGAGGAAGATGGAATCATAAAAAAACCAAATCTATTTCATGTGGAATCCATTTTGTACAGAAAGCCTTCACTCCTCATTAATGAATCCATTTTAGCATGGAATTCAGAGATGTTAATGACCATTTTCATTGTGATTCAACTGTGTGGTGACAATTAGTCCTTTGAAATCTCAACGTTCATTAGCTCCATGATCATTGGAAAATTTGACATAGGCAGTTTAAACAAAATATGTGACCAAGCCTGTATATTTTTAAAGTGAAAATAGAAACTATTATTATTTTTTTTAATTTTAAGCTGTAGTTGCAGCAAGAGATTACTCCTAGGAAAAACAATCTTTTAGCTATAAAATAAAATGTTAACAAGTCATAATAACTCAGAGCATCCACCTTGCTGTTTTAAATCCTATTTAGACTTATTTCTCATGAAACTTACTCTGTATTTCTAGTTTAAATTTATGTTGCCAAGAACAGATGGACAAGGAATGGAAACATATTCTTTCAGCTGTAGCCGGCACTAAAATGTGCTTGGCTCTATAGCCTGGGTGTTAATATACGCATTTCTTAGATATATGTCAACCAGAAAACGACACTGTGGCAAGCACTAAAATCCCAGATGTGTGCTTGATGATATTTATAAAACAACCACCACCACCAGCGTGACCACACCACAGGATTAGAGTTCACATTGAATATTGTGTGTTTTACACTGATTCCTAAATAGGTGAACATCCGTGCTAATTTTTGTAAGGATCTGAAGCTTGTTGATAGGAACTATTCTATAAGAAATGAGACACATCCTCATGACAGAGTTAATCTGTGAGCCCTAACTTTTTCATGAATCACAGGGATTTGTCTGCACCCACACCATATTGCTACTGTCTACCACCCTCCTTCTGCTTTTTTTTTCCTTTTTAATTTGTCTTTGTTTTTCCCCCTGCAAAAATGCCCTGAAAATCAATTCTGTCATTAATAATCCGTAATGAAGATTTTTTTCTATGAATTTAGAAGACCTGTGCTTTTAAGCTTTCATGGTCTTGCTAACATAAATAATTATATGGGGAGAGCGAAATGTTAGTAACTCTGGAAAAGGTAAATAAATACCATATTCCTTGTGTTTAGATGTTCGGGGGAAGAAAAATGAAACTAAATTTGTGCTGTGCAAATTTGCTCCCCTAACAAGTCCACATTTTTGCTGCAGTGCAATCTGTAAAGTCTGCCTACAATTGATGTCTCCTACCTATTATCGTTGAGATGAGGATCCTGGTTGATTTCAGACCAAGAGAGTTTCTATATAATTTTGAATTCTGTGCCTATATGTTACATCATCTGAAAATGGCAAAGACTTCCTCACCCCACATTCTAGTTAAAATTTATTTTAAGTGCAGGTCTCCTATGGATGTTCTTCATAACTAGTTTAACCTACTTAACTGGGCTGCTCACTGGCTTTTGACTTTATGTTTAAGAGTAGGAATAGCAAACTGTGGTCCATGGACCAGCGCCAACCCACCGCCTGTTTTCGTATGGCTTATGAAATAAAAATGATTTTTATATATTTAAAAAGTGGAAAAACATTTTAAAAGGCATAATATATTGTGACATCTGAAAATTATATGAAATTCAAATTTCAGTGTCCATAAATTAGTTTTTCTTGGAACACAGCCACGCTCACTTGTTTAGGTCTTGTCTAGATCTGCTTTCATACTATGGCAGAGTAGAGACCAGATGGCCCACAAAGCTGAAAATATTTACTATCTGGACCTTCAGATAAAAACTTTGCCAACCTGTGCTTAAGTGAAATACGAACTCTTTCAGATCACTAAGGTTTTCATGTTAGTACTTTGCTATAAATGATAAATGATGTTTTTTATGCCTGAAAGATACAATGTTTGAGCACTTAATTCCCAGTGTATGTGTCCATGTGTAGAGCAGCTGTTCTCAACCAGGGAGCTGCACCATGCTTGCGTGCTATGAGGTTTACTATAATCTTTTTGCTATTTATCCATAAACATCAAATTTTCAAAATAACGTTATGACCAAATAAACTAGGACAGTGTAACATTCAATATTATGCTCAATCATTACATTCTTGTGGCTTTCCTGCGTGGTGAGAAAAAGGAGGCATAGCTGGGAAGGCAGAAGTTGCAACCATACCTGGAGATCCGGCAGAGGTTCACTTTACCTTTAAGAGTCCAAAAGTATTGAGAAATCCTGACACTTTGGTACTGAGATGTGTGTGTCTCTCTAAAGGAATATTTGCTTTTGTTCCTTTCAATGGAATGAGGACTACTTTTAAAGTGGAAATTGTAGGTTCTGAAATAGTTAACATGTCTTCCAAACATCTTCATGGGAGTAACAGAGGCAAGAAAATCTTTAAATTAAGTAAATTTATATTTAAGATAGAAAGTCTATAAACGATGTTTAGAGGGGAAAAATAACTTAATAAAACCATTCAAATTGGGTCATATCAGATCAGAACGCTTAACACAGCATCTGTGAATCTATGTGGAGAAAAATATAACTCTATTTTCACTACAATGTAATTGAAATTAAGCACTTCTGTTCAAGTACAAATTTAGGCAAGAAACCATAGGTGTAGTAACAATACCTGTGTCTTTCTCACTGATAGATATCATAGATGTCATAGATATCCATATCACACTATAGATGTTACAATATTTTATTTTAAATAATAGCACTAACTTTTAATTATGCAGAATCTGTAAATATCTCATTACTCTCTATAAAACACGTTCAATTTCATGTTATTTAATTGTAAAATTTTTTATTTGTATATAATGTTTCAAAATAATACATATATTCATTATTATTTTCAAATGTTGATAACTATTGAACTTCTTAAAGTTTATTAATTTAATAAGAAATTACATATATTACTTTCTTTTTAAGCTTATATATATCATTTTATGAATTTTAAAACATCACTTTGAGACTTTAGTAGATTTCACCAGACTGGCAAAGAGGACTACAGCCTTAAAGTGGTAAGAAACCTTACTTTAGAGTAAAATCTGCCTTTGACTTTATAAATCATTTCCTGAACATCATTATCACTGCATTAGTTTGCTGCACAGGTAATCAGGGTATGAATGTAAATCTGAGAGTCAGAGGCACATATAGATTAGAGAACACAGGAGCAGCACAGCTAATAAGTGGATAATATTTATTCATAGCTTAGTCTCTTCATTTTTGACAGTTATGCCCTGATAATATGTCTCATTTGGTAATTGTCTCAGACTGCCATATGTGAGGGAACAGAAGAAGATGCATTACAAACACAGACTGAATGTGGGTTGTAGCATTTCTCAGAATATACTGAAGAAAGGAGGAGGGAGGAGTGGAGCAGAGCAGGACAAACCCTTTGATGTGTGGTGACCAGCAACATTCCGCACCTCCGTGGGAGGCCACATGGAGGTGTGCTCATTGACTCCACAGGAGCATTTTGCAATCAGCATAAATTGCCACTTATTAAATCCTTTTCTGACTATAGTAAGACCAGTCTAACTAGAAAGTTGTACCTTCTGTAGACTGTATGCCTTCCAGGGATGCTTCATTTATCTAGCAACAATTTGAAACATGTCTGAGGAGCCAGAAT